TCAATAGCAAGTATGCCCCCTGATTGGTTGGTATGGTCAGCCAACATGGCGCTTCCCGCATGGCTGTATCTATTCTCTTGACTTTGGGTTTGACGAGTGCCAGTAGTTCCATGAAGATGTCATGATTCAACCTCAGAAGAGCACGGAAACGTTGGGGATTATCCTCGTGTAATTCTGAGAAAAATTGGCATAGAAACTCTTTTCTCACCTCCTCGCCAGCCGTTTTTGCATCCACTCACGTCTGTCACATTTTCGACTTCGTTTACATCCTCTAAGCTTCCTCATCCCGATCCCGATCTAGACTGGGCCACTGCAGGAGAGGAACCAAGCATACAGCATTCGTTGTCCTAAAAACTCACTCTTCTCATAGCATCTAATTACCCGCTCATAACAAATTCATTCATATGGGAGCGGTCATATACGGGCAAAATCATAGCGTCTGATGGCACCTTGATGTAGCTGGCACTCCCCTAGATGCAGTACCAAGAGCCCGGAAAAACCAACCGGAGATATTGCTGATTTTACCCTGTTTGTGATGGACTTTTCCGGCAGGTGGATTGCGTGCAGGAAACATAACTGGTTCCAATCGGGAATTAGAGAAAGCAGAAATCCAGCAGAATACAGCGTGGGATCCAACTGGATCCTGTTGGTTCATTTCAGCTGGAAACGACATACCAATTTACGACTAGTTCTGGTTGGAAATGCTGCAGTTCCTGCTGGAAGTGGCACACATTTACCGATGGAAAGCTCGTTGTTTCTAGCTGCAACTTTTTGCTGAGAGTCCTCCCTATATGGTACCCATCCCACGCAACACGCTGATATCCCAGGGATATCCCCAACTGGACGACTTGTCCCATGGTCTTTATAGGATATCCTGAAGACATCTTTCGGACAGTTTCGGACATCTCGTAAGGGATGTCTTCGGGATATCTAAGAGAAGTATTTTATACATCTTCAGTCGATATCTTAGAGATATCCCGAAAGGGATTAAGGCATCCTTAGTCGAATGCTTCTGGATATCCTGGAGGGGATTTCTTGAAGACATCTTCAGTCGAACGCTTTCGATATCTTGAGGAGGATGTCCTAGGGATATCTTAGGATGTCTTTAGGCATCTTCAGTGCTCTTTGTCGCCTTCAGTCAGTGCATACCTTCGACGGTAGATGTCTCCCGTGGGCCCTGATCTTCAACCTCAGATCTTTTCTATCAAATTCATCTACAGTACTTGATTTGTCCTGAGGATAAGTGAGGATTTTCGTACCGTACAGCAGGAAAACTGCCACTAGGGAAAGTGAAAAAATTGTGGTTCGAATTTCAATTGATTCCGCTATATTCTCATTAATGATGTCTGATCAGCATGTCTGGATACAACTATCTTGGTTGGAGACCTGTGCCCACACGTATCAATGGGCATAAAACTAAAGGTCCTCACTCCTGGAGGTGGAGGAAAATTCATCAGGGAAAGTGAAAAATTTTCAGTCTGAGTTTTAATTTATTCCGCTATATTCTATTTAGTGATGAGTAATCGACATGTCTGGATACAACTATCTCGGTTGGACGCCTCAGCCTATATATTTCAAAAGGCATAAGGCTAAATTATCTCGTCCATGACCCTCTGGGTAAAGGTACTAAATTTTGTCCCTTGGAAATGTGTCTCCTATGATGGGGCCCCCTTTAGGAACAGGATTTTCTTCCCCCATAATCGTCACACTTCAATCGATCAAGAACATGATTACGTGTTCCTAGATCAAGTAGAGACAACTTCGAAAGTAATGGGCTCTCCTGTGCGGTAGGAAATGAGTCTATTGTGGATAGGAAGGTGCCTGCAAGTACTTTGGGACTTCTCACTTATCCCAAGGGGATATCTCTGGCACATCCTTCGGATATACTTGTGCTGCAAGAAAGAGATATCCTTGAGATGTCTTTACGCCCAGACATTTTGATATCCCTACGATGTCCCTACTCCTTGTCTCTGGGAAATCGCACTTGTCCCAAGGGGATATCTCTGGGATGTCTTTGGAATATACCTGTACTGTGTGGGGTGGGTAAGTGGCCCACCCAAGGGGGGTCGGAGAGGGGGGAAGGGGGTAAAATCTTGCGCATGTGATGACGTCAGCGAAACGTTCCACTACAGTATAAAAGCGGGCGCTTTGTCCTTGACGATCTCATTACCTCACTGCTTGAGGCCAAGACAGGTCGCACACACTTTTTCATGTCTCTCACAGCCGTAATACATCTACTCTCGTTTGTCAGAGCCACCTGGACAGCATCGTACATACATTGCCGACCTGTTCCTTGATTTCGATTATATTCTTAGGTTCCTTTATTTCATTCACTCTCTTAGTAGCAGTTGTTATGGACAATGGCAAGGATTGCATTGTCGCATTCTCAAAGAATATTTATTGGACTCGGCAGACACGAAATATTTCCTTCCATGAATTTCCAAAATGTCTAGACAGAGAAAATGAATGGCTTCAATCTCTTGGAAGAATATCTATCCCCAGATATGCTTCAGTGTGCTCGCATCCCTTCACCTTAGATTCCTATCGTGATCGAAACGCTATAAGGCGCTTGAAAAAAGATGCCGTTCCAACAGAGAATCTGGCCGAAGATCCAACGCAACCACGTTCACGTTCGGCGTCTGACGTAAATTTTTACCATTTGGCGGTCTGACGATTCATTTCAAGCAATGGAGGACTAGTAGGTCTCCTCATCTCTTGCGAATGGATACAATGATATCGTACCGGATGACCATGAATGCTCATTGCTTAGAGGTAGAAATCCTTTGTCAGAAGTTGAAGAGAGCACAGGAGATAATGAAGCTGAGATAAATTCTTTTCTCTCAGGTGATGCAAAAAAAGGAACGGTCGTCGAAGATCTCCAAGGAAATGTGTCTATGATTCAAAAACTCGTTCACAAAGGAGTATTCACAAATACTCAATTGTGAAATAAGTTATCATATACAAGTACCCACATATCCATCCATTGGCTATTGGGATCTTCGCACCTACCAGAACTATTCTAGACTGAGATACCGGAACAGGGAAAATGCAGTGAGGATGAACCAGGATCGTTAGGAACTGAAATGAAAAAATTGGGAATAATGGTGACGAAAAAATGATTCTCATGACAGCTCCGATCTAATGTGAGATGGCTGGACATCGAATTCGCAAAACCCATCACAAAAAGAAAGAGATTTTCGGTGTAGAGGACATTTTCACAAGTTTCGGATTTCGCGATGTCATGGTCTTGCCCGGTTTCCCATGGCAAAGGCGCGCTTCGCTACCCTGTCTACTTACACAGCATACCCGAAAGTGCGAGGCGTTCCACCCACTGAGATAGAGGTCTCCTACCTTCTAGATCTTCTCTACCTCAGTGGTTCCACCCCCCAAAACGCGTTTCTGCGCAGATCTGAGGGGTCTCTCCGACCCCCCTTGGGCCCACCACTTATGTGCTACTTGGGTAGTTACATACAGGTACAATGTCATTTTCTGTGTCCAATTATGCACTTAACCTCTTCATAAAGGTCTTCACGAAAACAGCAGCCACCACATCGTCACACTGCTTCCGGATTGAATTCGTACCACCCCCATGTAGAACGGAAAAAACACAACTTCCAGAAGGATACGGGTCAAGAGTCAAGAGTCACGAGAGTTAGTGATATCAAGAGGCGATTTCGCCCATTTCGATATCACGTGTCGAGGTCGAGCGTTCCTTAATTTTAGGGTATGCCTAACCCTCTTAAAGCTATATATTTTTGTATTTTTGTTTTGTTTTTTGACTATCCTAGTTGCTTACTGTCTAGTACCTACGGTCAACATTGCCCCCCACCTTTTTGCTTGTCCATGAAAGCATCTAGTTTCTTCTTAAAGATAGTCACAGAAGGGGCAGCCACTACTTCGTCATCTAACGCATTCCACGCGTTCACCACTCTGCAAGTAAAGAATTCCTGTCTCGACCTGAGCCGCACCTGCGGTTTGCGCAACTTAAGTCGGTTACCTCTCGTTCTCTTGCTGTCATCAAACTGGAAAAACCTACCACACTCGACATTATCTATTCCTTTAATTATCTTGAAAGCCTGGATGAGATCGCCCCTCCTTAACCTTCGTTCGAGCGAGTACAGTCTCAACACTTCTAAACGCTTCTCGTATGATAGTCCCCTAACCTCCTTAATCATTCTTGTGGCCCTCCTCTGTACTCCCTCGAGCGCCAACAGATCGCCCTTATTTGTAGGCCTCCAAAACTGGATGCAATATTCCAGCTGGGGTCTTATCAGCGCCGCATACAACGGAAGAATAACGCGAGATGTCCTACTTGCAACCGACCGACGAATGTAACCTAGAATCCTATTGCATTTGGCCACCGTCGCTTGCGCGTGCGAGGAAAATTTGAGGTCCTCGTCGATAGAAACACCTAAATCTCTCTCTCCGTTTGCCTCATCCAATTTAACATCGCCGAACGTGTCGAGAGACCTACCGTTGTTTCGACCGACGTGGAGAACTTTACACTTACTTTTATTAAACCTCATGAGCCATTTCTTGCTCCACTCGTCCAAAAGACTTAAATCTCGCTCGGCTCGAGCCCTATCCGCCTCCCCCCTTATGGTAAAACCTATCTTGGTGTCGTCGGCAAATTTACTCATCTTACCCTCTACGCCGAGATCCAAATCGTTTATGCAGACCAAAAACAGAAGCGGTCCAAGGACCGAGCCTTGAGGGACACTTGAGGGTGAATCATCATCAGGTGAATGGTGTAATCGTTAGCGTGGAAGGTGTCACTACCTGCAATTAATGGAAGCGCTCCTCTAGGAGGGAACGAATTCACAGAAACAATGTAATTCATTTTTCGCAGTCGCCACATTACAAGTAAAAATGTTATTCCGTAAACTCTCATTGGAGTCTTGCGCCAATCGAATTGGAAAAACCAACCTTTCTCCAGATACTACTCCTCTCATACGTCGACCTTATGACGATCTAATTGATTCGGATGTGAGCACTTCCTCATGCACAGGTGACCAAAACAACCTCAGCGGACACACTCTCAACCGGGCAAGAAACGACAGAGTCATCTATAAGTTACTTGCCATAACTGCTGCACAAGATGGCTGCCTCTATTCAGTAGGTGTGTGATGGAGCAAGGTTTTCACGCTGTTGGGAGAAATTGAAGGCTTTAGCAGGCTGGTTTTTATTTGTGACGTAGGCCTATTTTTAGTTTTTGAGCGTACAAATGACCCCCATCGTCCTGGTACCTCCTTAGCTCTAGCGTTCGGCGTGTGTATACCTTCGAAGATACGATTGTATACATCGGTTACAGAGACTAGCAATTGATTTCGTACTATCTTTTATGTTGTGTAGTTATTTTTATGATACATCCAAGGAGACTTTGGTATATCTTCCTTGTGAGAAATGATATAAAGCCTATGAAGCTCATTTCGACGGTGATAGGTATCAATAATCAATGTAAGGGTTTTTTTTGCATCTTCACTGTCTGCAGACTTTGCAGGTCTCTTGATTGATAATCTTGATTGTGACTCTATGACCCTGGCCTATGAGGTCTATGCAGACATATGAACACCTCAAATACAAGTGCACATCTTGGACAGAAGGAAAACATCTTATAAAAATGTTATAGCCTGTGGTTCTCTTGAAAATTAATTTCACTATGAGGAGGACCCAAGAGCAGCCATCTGCCAAGTTGTTTTCAGTTGTGAAACAGTTCTATATATTTATTGAATGTAGCAATGGATGAGGAAGTTCTGTGCAAATGGTTTAACTGAACTAAGTGATCAAGATGAGGATATGTTCATTCTTGGAGTTTAAGTATGGTAGCACCCAGGAACTTCATGGAATGAATAGGAAAATGATCTTTTTCATCTATGAGAGTTCTTGCTGGTGCCAATTCAGATTAGAGAGTCCATGATCATGACCAAGGTTACATAGTAGACCATGACCTGTAATAAATCTGGTTAGTGACTTTGTCACTCCCAAAAATAATTTCATTCTTTCAGACAAAGGTAGTTTCAAAGGGTAGGTTTATAATTCCTAGGTATCCCTCATTAAACCAGCTTTCTAGTACACCTCCATTTGGTGACAAGATTTACTTCTAGATTGAATCAGTTAGTTACTAGATGCTCCTACGACTCTGAGCTCTAGCTTGAACATAATTGAGAATAGCTAGCCTACCTCCAAATGTGTTTTTGCCTGCCTTTCTGATTGATACTAATACAGGTAGCAAACCATATTGGTTGCACATCTTGTAAAATATTTTAAATTAAGTAACTGCTCAGAATGGGTTTACATTGATCTTTGCAATTTTATTGCCACAGGTAGTATATGAAAAAGCTTTACACTGACAGTTTCACTGGCATCCTAGACAGGAAGTCATGAATACTCCAATACAAGTGATCAACCTTTCAGATGAAGATGATGATCTGGATCTTCATGATGCAGCAATAGAAGACAGACAAGATGTGAAAAATGAAGATAGGGAAAGTAGGACTCAAGAGCACTCTGAAGGATGTGAATCCCATGATGGCATTGCTTGTAGAGTGAGTGATGTTATTGGTGATAATTTACATGTTCAAGCAGGTCCAGAGACATGTTGGGATAATACCTGTGAAATGGTTATAAAGACCCCTCTAGCAGAAATTTCAGAAGCAGAGGATACCTCCAAAGATTCCTTTATATATCACAGACGGTCAAGTCGAGGAAATGAGGATATTTGTGATTGTCTCATTCAGGATTGTCCTGGATGCTGGTTCAGTTGTCCAAAGTGTTCTTCCAATAAGTGTGGTCCAGAGTGCAAGACAGGAAGCCTCAGATGTATTGAGGCAGAGGCCCAAGTTACTCCAAAACCTAGAGCCAAATTAGAGTAGGCCTATTTCATTCAGTCATTCCTTGTTGGCAATCTCAATTTAATAATAATTTTCCCTCCACTGGTCTGCATCACATGTCTATTGAAGGCTTGCAATGCCTATGGTTTTGAGTCTCATTGTTGAATTCACATACATTATCCTAGACCTATGCTTTTAATAATATGTTCTGTGTTAATGATTTTCTATTGTATCCAGCATCATGTAATGATCAAGAATTGAAGATGGACATTACTATGTGAGTCTCTAAGCAGCCTATAGTTTCTGAATAACAATAAAATAATTTTTTTAATATTTGTTATCTATTGATCTTGTAGATAGGCTTCATGAATTTGATAATGTCTAAAACTATCATTTTCCTTTAATTGTTCTCTTATTTATGAGAACAATTGCTTTGAAATGGATCTTAGGAGTTTATCCTGGAAATCCATAGATTCTAAAGAGATTGATAACTTCTTAAATGTTTCCTGGCATTGGTTCAATTCACAAGGGAAAATGCCTATAAATTCAAGAACCAAAACAAGCCTTTGCACAGTTATCCTGTGTTTGGTTTTTTACCTGCCAGGGACAGTAGAGGACACAAACTCGGTGGTTCAGATGCAATTGCCTAAATATCTAATTTAAAAAAGATATCATGCTATGATCCTGCCAAATAGGCCCACCTCTAGTAGACTCATACTTCTTCATGGAATTTTTCCAAATGGAAAACTCAGAGTCTGGATTTTCCCTCTGTCTCCTGAGACAGCATTCTCAGAATGAATTTAGGGAAATGCCATATTTTAAAACTTATCCGTTCATGTTAGCCATTTATTAGTGGAATGATTAGAGGTACTGATGTCAATGTCAGTATATTGACCAATGTAATAGCAATAGTGTCAATGCAACATAAAGACCTATTTTTGTTCACTGATACCTGACACCCATAGAGTGAAATTCTTGACCCTGATTTCCATGATAAATGGCATGAGTGCAGATGGAGAGGATGATTGGAATTTATGTGGTCATGAAACTGAGTTTGTTTTTCCAAAAAATGTATTATTGCTACTCAAGGCATAAATTATAATTAGCAGACCAAATTAACATGTTCAGTTAATATTAAGATATCAGAGTATTTGCTAAGCTTCAGCAGTGGTGACCTATAGCATTGAAGCCTTCTTAGACTAGAATGTCTTGTTAGTCATGATGGGTGCCATGTTTTCCTATGGGAATTTCCATTTTCATGACAAAATGGGCATATTCAACTGGAGACACTGACTGCAAACTTAGACTCCCTCAGACTCTTAGTTGTTTTGTGTTCAGCTCAGCTTTACAAACATAATTTTATAATGTAACTCGCATTCATATTTATTGAGTGAATTACATTTACTGAGTACATTACAAATCTAATAATTGCTTTCCCATTTCCCCTTTTGGCATCCATTCTTATGATTATAAGCTAGCTTTGTGAAATATATCTCATGGTTAAAGGCAAATTGTTGCCTTCCCATTTCCCTTGTTCAGAGAGCAAACTTGGGTTGTACACTGAATGTATGGAAGGTATTCTATAATGTATGTATCTTAGTGAGTTGTATTTATTTTCCTTTGTCATGATGAGTCCTGAATTTTATGCTTGTCTTCTTGCCTATAGATTCTGAGATATTGAATGCCATCTGTACAAAAGGAGATATCACTTAGTTCGCTATACGTGGCAGAAGGTACAAAGAATGGAGGGTGATCGCTTTGACATCCAGTTGCCTTACATACAAGAATCCAGGCCCAAGACAACATTCAGGACCCAGATGGATTCAAACATGTTCTGTGATGGAAAGCAGAGCATGTTTTCTAGCATCTACAATCCCTTGCTTATGTCTCTAGACTACAATGTCCCAGGGAGTATGATGAAAAAACCCTTTCTTGATTGTGGAATATCTGTGTCATCACCAGCTAATACTCAGCACATGGTGGATTTTTTAAACAGTGGCTGTGACTATGGTAGCATTTTGCCAGATTTGGAAGCTGATTCAGACAGCAAGAATGTGTTGGATATTTCAGAAAACCTGGCAAATCGGAAAACTTACGACTGCTTGCCTTCCTCTCCTCGATCTGAAATTCCAGACAATTCTCCCCATAACATGTTTCCATCATACAATGATGCATGTTTTTTGGATGATCGTTTCACATGTGGAAAGTCTGGGTTCAGCATGGGTCTGCCACAGATCTTGCAAGAACTGGCACAAAAATTCCCATCTATGCAGGGTCTTTCAGCTGATGAGACCAACTATGTTGACATTATTGGTTGGTTGACAGTTTTTGTGAGAAAACTTACATTCCTCTGCTCCTTCAATGACATGGGCAAGAGTTCTTGTATTGCCTGTGGAGTGAGTTTGAAGGAAAATACAATCCACAAACATGAAGTCAAAGGCAACCTGTTGCTTGGCAATGGGTTTGGGGTCATTGAAATAGAAGCAGTCAATGTGAGAGAGATTGGTTGTCAAACAGAGGGAGCTGAAGCAATCAGTCCTGCAAAAAGTCTTGGAAGGCGGCGAAAGCAACAAGTGACTCTCAAGAATAAGAAAATGCCAGATTTAGCTGAAGATCCTTTGAAGGACTCTAGTGAAGACACACAAAATCCTGATGTATCAATATCAGACATGTATACATCTGAGAGCCTTCCAGTCCCAGATAAGAATCTCCTTGATCTGGATATTGTGGAGAGTGAAGATGAAAAGAAAAAGTCTCAAATGGTACAAAGTGATGGAATGGGGCAGATTGAGGAATATATCTCCAACAATACCAGGGAGTCATTAAGTACTGAAGAAACACCAGCCAGTTCAGTTCCAGGAGCATCCCCCCCTGCTCAGAGGTTGGACTGTGAAACATTCTCCCCAACTAAGAAGAGGAAACAGCGAAACCTAGAAATGAACATCAAGAAGTTGGAGATCAAGAAAAAGTTGAAGATGACTTCCAAGAATGAGACTGAGAAGGCATTCAAATGTCCGTCATGTGGCATTTGTTTCTCAACTGAGGATCGGCTAGAAAAGCACAAGAATGTTCACTTTGGGGTAAGACCATTTCTTTGCAAGATCTGTGGGAAATCCTTCCACTTGAAGAAGATTCTCCAGCAACATACCATCGCCCATAAAAGTCAGTTCCATATTTCCCTCTCAGTCACAATAAGATGATTTTACCAAAACTATGTTTTGATATGGGGATTGTTTGAAATTAACACTTTCACAAAAGCAGTGTTTCTCATTTGACTGTGGTTAAAAAAAAAAATTTTTTTTCCCCCTTTTTCTTTCAGCAGACACTCTGATAACAGTAATAGGGTCTAAGAGAGAAGATACTATTATAGATGCTATTAGTGCAGTTAATCTGGTATAATATGAAAACTCCTTATGAAATATAAGCTTCTTAGTTGTTGATGGGTGGATTTGAGACCATTATAATACTCCTAGTGTAGCAATGATAACTGAAACAGTCTACCCTTACTCATACCATTTTCTCTTCCTCATGATCCAGATGCAAAACCTTACAAGTGCAACATGTGTGAGGCAAGCTTCACTCGTCTGAATAGACTAAAGGAGCATGAATATCAGCATAGTGGAGATAGACCTTTCTTCTGCAATATCTGTGGCAAGGCAAGTCTGATGAGAATTTTTTATTGAACAAAAAATTTTTTTGCTATCAATGAAGTGAAACTTCCAGTTTCAATGGATTCATGAGAAGATCCAGGAATCCTAGCAGTCTTTCATTGTCATCAGCTCATTCTTTGTAATGAAATGGTAGCTCCACTTCTGAGGGAGTCAAGCTGGCATTTAAGTATCAGTGTTGTTGTAGGGATTTGTGAGAAAGGCGTACTTGGATGGCCACATGCGCATCCACTCAGGAGAGAAACCCTTCCGATGTGAGGATTGTGGGCGTGGCTTTGCTGAGAAGTCAAATCTCCTTAGTCACAAGAAGTTGCATTGGGCCATTCGACCACATCAGTGCAGCCAATGTCAAAAGTCTTTCATTGCCAAGAGGAACTTGGAATTGCATCAGGTAGCCTATGTCAATTAGTTATCCATTGATGCTTTTCATATGAGAATGATTGTAATTGTGTGCCTTTTGCCCAAACTGCTCCTTGAAAGTCCCAAATTGTGGCTTGAAATACCTTGAAATAATGAAAAGAGGGAACTTTAGTTGCATTTATTTTCACTGGAGAACACTTGCATGTGCTGCTTGGCTTTTCTTGAGTTTTTCATATAAAAGGAAAGAGAGTAAGCTGTCAAATAATGTAGATTTTAATCACTGAAAAAGCTTTTATTCATTCCTTTTGCTCAGTTAACAGTGAAAATTAGTGTAAAAGAGCTAATGTTAAAACTAAAGTTTCCCCAAGGCTCTCTTCAATCTCCTGCAGTACCCAGGATTTTCAGAGACATTGCGATGTGTTCAAGGTAAAGAATAATTTTATTTCTGATGCTGATTATTGGAAAAGTCTAGAAGAACTTTTGTGTTATAAATAGTGTTGCTTATTTAAAAAAACATACATATAGCATTACAAATTGCATAATCATTGATTTCTAGATTGATTAATCAATTACTTGAATTTAATTAATTTATAGTCCTCCCTACAAATTTGGTGAAGGAAACATGATCTGGTACACTTCTGTTTAGATGAAAATGCTATCATCATGCCTTTCTTAATGGATAATGTGATGAACATAGTAGATATAGCCATATCACCTGGTATGGCTTTATTGCTATATTGCTTGAACATCTTACAAGTACAGGAAGGAATAACAAATGTCCCAGTCAAGATAGGATCAAGATGAGGTGAAATTACTCTACTAATATGTATTCAATTACTATTAACACTTTAATAATTAAAACTTTAATTGAGTAAACTAGTCTAATTAGAGTAGCTAACGGTCATTTTTCCATTGTCTACATTTCCCAATCTGAAAAGTGTCCACTAGTGGATGCTCTACTCACTGGTAAAGTAGGATTTTCAGGTTTTTAATGTGTAAAAACACTATTCTGAAATACATGATGGTGGGCAGTAAAATTTGGCTGGCATAGACATAGTTCTATGGCCAAATTTATGCATATTTTTGTTTTGAAGACATTCAAAGGTAAAGCGACAGAATATGTTGAAGTAAACTTAATAATGAGTATGCTCAACAGGGAATTGATTTACACTAGTGAATGAATCAATGCCCACTTGCTTTGCGAGAGCCTCCCTGTCATTGACAGGATTCAATTACCCCTTCCTTTTGCAAGGCTGAATAAGGAAAGATCTCATCTCTCTCCTTGACATGTTCTCAAATGTATGTAATTTGAACAGCTATTGCGAGGAATGCTTTCCCCACACAGCACACAACAGTTCAAAATGTCCAGAGTGACTTCTGGGTATTTTTCTGGATTTACAGAAAGTATAAGCACATAGATTATTGGAAAAAGGACAGTATTTTAACAGCTTTTCTGCTCAAAAGTAACTCATTCAAGTATGTAACACCCATGTATCCCTGAACCTGAGAAGCTATTTGACTTTCCCTCTGCCTATTAGCTGACTCACACTGGTGAGCGACCAACCCAATGTGAAGTGTGTGGGAAGTGTTTTGGGGGGAGCAAGGGACGACTAAGGCGCCATCTACTCACCCATTCAGACAAAAGGAATTTTTCCTGTGCCATCTGTGGGAAACAATTCAACCGCAAGGACAAGATGGACCAGCACATCAAAGGCCATTTATCAGAAAAACTCTTCAAGTAAGTATAATCTCCTTTTTTCTCTCCAAGGGGCTGAAATAATTGTATTATTATCAGGTGTATAGTTCCTCATCAGATCAAGCTCAATGTAATAGTAGAAATTACTTGCCTTCAAGGATACCCTTGAAGCAAAGTTAATTGGACCCATTGTTACAGTGTGATATTGGACTCTTTGATGCATGAGATGCTAACTGACTTTCTCCCTTTAGCAATGAGAGAAAATGAGATCTTTTGCTTTTGCTGCTAGTCAATAAGAATCATCATGGTTTGTACATGTCCAAGGTAGGTTTTCATCAGCAGCAAGTTCATCCAGCAGTTTCTGAGATATTCTCGAAAACCATAAAATTTAGTGCGTCTGGCATATCCCAAGCCACAGATTAAGAAATCAAACAAATTTCTTCAAATTCATATGACACCATGATAAAACATACAGCTAGATTGTTGGGAGCAAAAAGTGAATTTTCCAATTTTTCAATGCAAAAATGAACCATTTCTGTCATGTTATTCAAATATTTGATGGCAGTTGCCTCTTAGCTCCCTACTTCAGCCATAAAGAAATGAAAATATTCAAAATCTGTCCCAGCACATTCAAGGATTGTGATTTCTGAGTGTCCTTGCGAAATTTCAGGTTTCTGGCACCAACATTGTAGGAGTAATTTGGGAAATAGTCAGTGCATGCAATTTGTGTATATGTGTATCACTTTTATTTGCTGATAGTCTCTCCTTAAGGATTATTGAAAATCACAAATTGACAAGGTACCATATAGTTCATTCCACTTCCCATAGTGAGAGTCCAGAGGAGTAATGGGGGAGATTTTATTATTATCACATGTTATAAATATCACTTCAGAAATGCATTATTTCACAATTTAGGTTTGAGGTCAGAAGTTGCATAAATAGAACTCTGATTTAGGTTGGTATCAACTATCTGTTTATCCATTACACATCTACCAAGTCAAGTGCATAAAACATTTGCACCAGTCACTGTCTATCCTTCATAAAGCAATCATCTCAGAACATGGGAAATGCATTCAAAATTGCTGTACCTGTGATTTTGGATCTGATATTTTTTAGTAGAATTTACAGTTTTAAGGTGTACAACTTTCACATTGTATTACTATTGTGAGGTATAAGCAAATTTTAAACCATTTGGCCTCCAATTGTATACTTGAGTATAATTTTTTAAAATTTGAATTGCCTGTTGATTTTCCAGGTGTGAGACATGTGGGAAGGCATTTTTCCGCAGCGATCAGCTCCGAGCTCATGAGAAGTTGCATCAGAGCTCAAAAAAGCAGCAGTGCAAAATCTGTCTACGCTTCTTCTCATCATCTGAACTGTATGAGAGACACCTGGAGACACATAAGAAACTTGACTCCATGGCATTAAAATGCCCCCAGTGTGATAAATTGCTTTCTAGTGCATACTCATTGAGAATGCATATGAAGAAGATACACAAGGTGCAAGAGCCACTAGAAAGGAAGGCTGGAGAGTACAGGTGTGACATCTGCCTGGAAACATTCTCAAAAAAGGCTAGTCACAAAGCCCACATGGCTATGCACAGGAACAGGAACAGTGATATAAATCCTCAGGAGAACCTTAGGACTGACAACTTTGTGCCTTGTCACACAGGGACTCAGGCACAAAGCTTGTCACCCCTGTGCACTGTTGGGACATCTGGGACATTGCACTGTCCCCCCATACCTGTACCAATGCCATCATCCCCCACCCCCCAGACAGATGTGAACACATTACACCTCACACCTGAAGCCATCAGTGCAGCAACCTATCTTCTTGCCTATCCATCTTATCCCTATCAATGAAATAGGGCAAAAGTTTTGTGGAAGTCCTGTGATTATGTTTGAAGATTTTGATTGATTTTGTAATTGGCCTGTTAAGGCTTAATGATTTATTTACTCTCACTGTTTCAATACCAATGAAATGGACTTTTAGCAAAAGGGAAAAAAGCTAGTACTCCATGTTTTATTAATTCCCATTTAATAGTGTTAAGTACGGATGGTATGAAGTACAAGCTCTGAGCAAAGGAGATCCCTGCTCTCTAGCCAATCTTGTCTTGACACATATGTTGTTACCCTTTCTATTCAGGCTGTTCTGATGTATTGGCAGAGACTGGTATCAGCCACCAGTGTTCCACCATCAGCCATTAACAGGATGGAAAGCAGCTAATGCCAATGTTCAAAGTAGGGGAGAACAATTTTTTTTTTAACATGTCAACCCAGCAAGGCACCAGTCCTCCTGTCGCACTGAAAGCCACTCCTGCCAGCTTCTCCAAGACCAATATATAAATTAATTATATTTCAGCCCTATTGTAGGAACTGGTGGAGGAAAATAGCAGCAAAGAACAGAAAATCACTGCACCTCCTTTTATGTTATGCTTTTACAAAGTATGTGTCATTAAAATGCTCTTAACAGCAGCGATAGATAACAAGCTAACCACTGATGCGACACATAGGCAGACTGACAGGCTGGACAGGATTAAAAGTGGTCTCTCATCATTTTATGGAAGTCCACTGATTAGCATCACATGGCTTCAAAATAGGCCTATTTGAAGTAGTATGCAATTTCATGTTACTTTCTTCTCAATCCACAAACAACAAACACCTCCAGCATCAGCACCAATATAAGATCAAAGGGTATGAGATCAAAATCAGCCATTGTCCCACTGGACAAATGTGTCCTTGGGTGCAGCCTTACATTTTATCATTTGTTGGGAATGTACAGAATTGTCTTTTTTCACTCATAAATGAAGCAGTCTTATCTCTTTTTGGTAAATTCATTAAGCTGTAACAACTGATAAGTGACATGCTGACATGAAAATCAGAACTTTTCTGATGAAAAGCAACTGAGTTCAATTTTACACTTTTAGCTCACAATTTTGTTTGAAAACACCTCAGAGGGTTTCACAGCTTGATTCAAGTTGTATTTAGGTATAACAAAAAGTTCATTTATTTTTAGATCAGAAATTCCAGGATAGATATTCCCACACTTTGGCATTTGGGAAGGCATTCATGAAATGATTGATTACTGATACTATAGGTTTTAAGGTCATGAATAATTCATGCTAACCCAGGCATAACTTCCTTCCTTTAATTGGTCTCTACATGTCATATACAGAGCAGTTCACCGGGGAGCAGCCAGAGCTATCATATGCTTCATTCAAAATCTTTCTATACATGATTGAAAGGAATTCTTTATTCCTGACATAATGGGTAGTTACTCATGACTAGAAACACACAAGTTTAGAAATAGAAATTTCAAAATTGCACAAGGTTCATTCCTTTTTTTTTTTAAATAGCACCAGTGCAAGCTTTTCAGCATGATCATTACTGATTCACATCCTGGCCCAAAATTTACTCTCTTTAGATGATCTATACCTAGCAAAATCACTAGACAAATGATACATGAAATTCAAAGGATGTCTTCAAGCCTGAAATGTATCGAATCTTCCTTTTTCTTGCACTCAGGCTATCTTGAGAAATGTCATCACAGAGGTAAGTAGGATCCAAGGTAAACCAGGGCAGGGGAGCTGCTTGATGAACTATGTGAAGAAATCTCTGGCCTCCAATACTCCCAGGTGTAAGTCACTATGGGAAACAGTGGCAATCCACAATGATGATGATAGATTAATAAACCTCTCAATATTTCTCATTCTATTTATGAAAATGAGCTAATCACCCAATGCTAAAAAAAAAAAGAAATGAGAACCCATAACTTAGTCCATAAAGCCACATTGCATATCAAAGTAGACAATAGGTATTAAAAGTTGATGCAAGAACTTTAAAAAAATATCTAATTGACCCCTGAAACTTAAAAAAGATGGTGTTGAAGGAGACAGGACTCACTGATGTCTCCTGGAGAAAGCCCGACTATGAAAGGAGAGCAATAAGATGCACAAGCAGTAGAAGGGCTCAGTGTCACCATAGATGCTCCTCCCAGTTGCATCAAGAAAGTATTTGGAAATTCTGGCAATGGCTGGGATAAAAGAGAATAAGTAGGGGGGGATAAATAAGGGTAATCTGTTTTGCTGTTACTGCTGAACACATCTTCATCACCCCCCTTTGGTCAGAGCCAACATCTCACATTACCAAGCTAGGATCATTAATTTAACTGTCTGCTACCAGCCATCATTTTATTTTTTTATGATGTGGAATCTATTGAAGGGAAACAATGACAAAATTACAATAGAGAATAATAAGAGTCTGAGAGCATTTTCTACAGAATATGCCATGGAATACAAGCTAAGTAATTACAATCATTCTGTGTTGAAATCAGGATTCATCAATTCTTGTGCAAATTTATTTTGAGGCTAGGAAGTAGGAAGTGTTGTGGCTTGAAAAAAATAAACAGCTGTTACATGAGCAATGCCAAAATCTGCAACTCTCTGTTGCTATTTTTAATTAATGTCTTGCTTCTGTTTATATATGTCCTAAAATAAGGGCTGCTTGGTGCTACAGCATGAGAAGTAAGAATCTGATGGCCCTAAAGGGAAAAGGAGGATGAAATTTACCCTATCCTACAGAAATTTTACATTGGGATGTAGTACCCAAACAAAATGTTGCTGGCACAACCCCAGTAGCCCAACAAATCATAAGAGAGTAGCCAATATTAATGTACTAAACCAATGCCCTACCACTAGCTAGGCTGAAAATGAAGGATGTCAAAACATTGGAGTGCAATTAAATTCCACCCTACTACCAGGAAATGTAGCTTAGCATAGAACTTGATTTTTAACTCACAAGAAGTAAATGAGAGTTGTTGAGGAGAAGAATAACCTTCTGAAGAGACACTTCTGAACCTGAAGATATGAATCTGGGCCGGGGAATCAATTTCCTGAGCGCTCTCCCACCTTCCACTCGATCAATAACCCTGATCCAAAGACATGCACTTTTTCTTATTGTTAAGATACACCTGTTCTCCAAAATACTTTTGACATGTGCTTTCCTTGTGTTCCCTTTCAGTATTTATGACATGTCATCTTCCACACTGAAATGATAATGGCTTTCCTAAAAGTGACTCACCACAAAATGTACTTGAAAGATGCTGGAAAGGAGGCAAGACCAGCCAATGGTACCAGATGACCATTAATGATCAGCCTGGCTGTTCCTGTCTCCAGAGCTCCTTTGTGCTCCTCAAAAAACTCTGACAAACTGGATAGATCCACCATTGATGCAGGGAACTCATCATGCTCTTCATCTCTTTCACTCTAGAAAGAGGTGCCCATTGTAGCAAATCAAATTGCAGGACTTAGAACTCTTCACTGTGTCCCAAAAAAAAGTTGGCCAGTTTATTTGTCAAAATATCTCCATCCAATACCCTGTGAGCCTCACCTTTTTCTGCACATGACATCTCAGATGATAAGGGTGATTCGTTCCATGTTAAATTTCACCCAATCCTTTAAGTGCAGTAACTTTTCTAAGTTGAAGTATTGTATATCAAAGTGAACAATCTGCCAATAGCTCCTCTCCAGGTATACCAACATGACTGAGTGCATATAACAGGTTGTCTCAGTGGAGAAATCAGTTTTTTGTAGCTCTTAACAGATGTTACTTGGGATGCTTTATGCTCTGGTTACATTTTTAATCACTGATATTTTTTCATTTTTTGTAGGGTTCAAGCCTAACTCTCCCTTTTTGCAGTTTTTGTCATAATGTGTATGTGATTATTAAAAGAGCAACAGGGAGATTCAGTGCAGAGGATATGCACATATGCACTTGGTCAAATACACTGGTATGCTTTAATTTAATAAACACAAAGTACTCATAATAACAAGATAAAAGAAATTAACCAAAAAACAATTTCCTCCTTGAAATTGCCCGAGCACTGTCTCAACTCTGACATATTTGAGCCCACCAAGGAGATGTACCTGGCAAGGAGCATCACCCAGATACCTAGTTTACTATGATTTTCCATACTTCAACTAGCAAATGTTGTCCTTGAAGCACTTGATGAAAATTTTTTAAACTTGGAAGAAATCTTCGTGATTCATTTGAGATGCCATGTGAGCCATGCACTTGACATGCAAGATGAGGCTCACAGAATATCAAAAATAGAGATACTTTAACAGATATAAACCAGTTCCCTATTTTTGAGACATTGTATAGTCACCTCATTGGTCTTATCATGTCTACCTTATATATAATAGGAAGTGCAGGATTCAGAGGCAGCTCATCATCATAATCTATTGGAAGTTCAACAGGAGCAGAGACATTCAGACAATGCTGGCAGCTGATGATATTTGGTCCCCAATATGATGGATTCTCCCAGATGCATGCATCATGGTAGAGCCCTAAAATCAAGTCATCACCTTGAAGCTATCTATAGAGAAATCTGATAATCATAGTACATCAAATGCAATATCCTCATTGCACTTGCCATTGAGATGAAGAGAAAAGGCCTCCAATATGGGTAGTGTCAGAAGTCTGTAATTCCTCATTATGGGATGGATGAGATGTTGCATATGCTGAAGTATAACTTT